AGGAGAGATTATCAGTCACTCGTGGATTAGTGTGGGGCACTTTATAGCTTTCCCTTTACATCAACTGCACTTGACCCATACATAATTGGCAGATATGTTTTCCAAACAGTTCCTAGGCTAGAGATGACTCCCTGATTAAGAAAGAGAAGAGCATCAGCTGCTCTTGCAGAGGACCTGGGTTTGATTCTCAGCACCTATGTGGTAGCTCCTAACCATCCCTAACTCCAGTTCCAGGGAATCCAATGCCCTCTTCTGATCTCTGTGAGCACTGAATGCTCATGGTGCATGTACACACATGCAGGGGTTAGGGGGAGGTAGGGAACATTCAGACACAAAGTAAAAAATAAAATTGAAAAATAGTACAGTTCTATCAGTTTCCACTTTGAAAAAATAAATCTATTTCAGACCTGTGATCCTGAGCAGTGCGCATTCCCACTCTGATGCCCGACATCCCTTCTCTTCCTCTCCCTTGGTCTGCTCTTGCTGACCACACAGGCTTACCAACTCTCCCTTCTGCGTTGGTCTGTGACCAAACCTATTGGTCTCTCAACCACACCACATTTTGCTATTTGTACTTTAAATAATGTACATTTTACATTATCCAAATTATTTCATACTCAAAATCTTGCCATTGTCATTTCACAGATGGGAACTTGGGTCACAAGGATCAAGATCATAACGTAGGAGATTCAATTAAATTGCAAAATACAAGAAATGCTGGCAATAAATAAAATATCTTTATTATGGTTATTTAATAGTTAAAATCTGCATGTTTCCTTAGATAAAGTAGTTTATAACAGGATAAAAAATTACAAAAAGGCAAGCTCTTAATGATTCATTTGAATTAACTATAAAATCAAAATACTGCTAGTAATTTTAATATCTTCTAAAGTAACACAAAATATATTCAATATGTAATACAAACCTCAATAATCCAAATCTCCTAATAAGCAATTATTTACAAATTCTGAACTGAGAAAAAACAGTTTAGCCAAACAAACAAAACAATGTTCTTAATAACTTCATCCTATGTCATCTAAGCTTTTTGAGTAGAAATAATCTCTTAATACAATGTTAATTATATTAATCTTAATTTACATTTAGTTGGTGGGAATTTACCCATCCTAAATGCTTCTGGGCCTGGAAAATACAAATTTTGAAAGCGCTTAAGGATTTCGAACGCAGTTTAACAATTCAGTCTGGCACCTCAAACCCACTATCTTATAGGTACAGAATTTAACTAAGGGTACAAATTTAACGATATCCCTATTTTGGTGAACTTCCTGTCTAAACTGTATGGTTTTACTCAGTTGTCCATATACTAATGTCACTGACTAGTAAGCAAAGCAAGCAACATTACTTTTTTTTTAAATAACATCTTTAATTAAAGTTTTTGCAAGGTAAAATATTAAACTTAAAATAGTCTTAGCACATCAAAATACTAAGCTCTTTAATTGTATTCCAAGATGGTTTTTGAAACTTAACACCCGATATATCACAGAAGAGCAACCTTGATCTGCAAGTGTACAGAATGAATTTTACAAACATAATAAATATATTTACGCCCTTACACAGAACAGTATGTACAACAGCAGTCGACAATAGTAGCTCTGAACGGCTATGGAATAGCCCCTCCCCACCTGGTGTAACCCGATGCATACTGAACTGATTTAAGGAAGCTTGACTGAACGACCAATTATTTATTCAATTTGTTTTGTTCTCCCCTCAAACAGGAAGAAGCTTTTATTCTTAAAACAAAAATATTACATTTGATGCAATCTTCCTTAAACCATGCATGAAAGGAGGATAATAGGACAAAGGCGGTCTTCCAGGGGGAAGAATATAAACCAGAATAATTTCCATAAGGGTAACAGATTAAAAGGTAAACCTAACAAAAAAGATAAGAAAACACATAAACCATTAACCAAAAACCTCCACATCTGACATAGTTCATTCAGACAGGTAAGAAGGAGACACGAAATGAAAATGTACAAAGATCAATAAAACAGCACATTGCACAAAAGCTCAAAAGTTCAAGATGAAGTAATATGAAAATATAAGAGCCTTCTCAAGTGAAAGAAAATGCCGTTATAAAGGGCAAACTGTTCAGAGGAGATATGTCTGCTCTTATACAAGAAATACCCTCTAATATGGTGACATTATTGCTGTTTGCTGTAAGTTATAAAAAAAACAAAATATTCTCAGAGGGAGACAACTCTGCATTCGTCCATACAAGCCACCAAAAGCAAACTTGATTTTCAGTATAGCAAAAAGAAAGCCTTATATAAAAACTAGTAATTTTTTTAACATTGTCTTCTAAAGCCAGAATAGGATATGCTTGTCAATAACACATTTCAATCAGTGCACACGCTGTATAAATCTTGATGCCAGCCTGACTTTTAAAAAGGCAACAGTGTAAATGTGACGCATACTTAACAGAAATGTGAACATTTCAAATATAAGAGCCTAATATAAAGGTCCCCTTCTATCCTGTTTGACTCTAGAAACTGCATGGGACAAAGTTGTTACTCTATGAAGTGCTCTCGGGCATTCCGGCAGTGTGAGAATACAAACGACCACCAGGCAGGAGTTGATCTACTGAAAGGCACACATTTCCACGTTAATCATCTGTGTAAGTTGACCTTAGCATCATGTCATATAAAAGGTGCCATCACTATGGGTACAAATCTAAACAGATCAGCTTCTGAAGACACTGTCTGCATCCCTATTCTCACCTTTTGGATAAACACGCTACTTTCATCTTAAAATTCTGCAAGTGGGAATCCCTTGCTTTCCAAAGGAATGACACTTTGAAAGAACTTAATGACATCATCGGTTAAATGTAATGGGGAAAGCATGATTGAGAATTCAAAGCAATTCAAAGCAAGTGACATTTACATAGCAAAAGCTGCTATAATAAAGGACACGCATGCTACTTAATTTAAAAGGCGCACAAGATAACAGCATGTAAGAGCCCAGTCTGGTGCGCAGGCCTGTTGGAATCAGCTTTCAGAGCTTTCCCAAATCAAAGTATTCGTCCAGGATTCCATCATTATTAGGCAATATAGAAGTACAAATATAAATGGTCAGTTCCTGCTTCAATATAGCCCTCTGTGTGTCACTCTGAAAGAAGTGGTTGTTCATGCTTGAAAATGTTTAGCTGGAAAAAACAGGCCAATGGACGATGCTAACCTTCAATATGTTTGACAACACAGAGAGGCAGGACTGTGCTCAATTAGCATTGTGACTACTGATTAGCCCAGAGTTTCACTGAAGCAACCCTGCTGTGCTGCTGTAGGTAGTTCAGGTTACTGATTTCACTGAGTAAAAACAAACCTATAGACTATATCAAGGGACAGCTCAACAACCCATGGGATGTTGGTCCCTTGGTTCACCGAGTTTTATAGTTAAACCAAAACTGCTGTGTGCTTTGAGAATCGGAGATTAAACGAACTTCCCCTCAAAAAACTACATTAATAAGAAAACAAACCAACAAAAAAACCTCTATTACCAGTTATGGAATACAAGCAAAATCTAACTCCTATCATGTTAAGACCCCACCACTGATACCAAATTTCACAACATAAATTGGTTCAGTAGGGTGCAGGGTACAAAGTGGGGAGGAGAAATCAACTGCACTAAGGAATTTTAAAACAGGCTCTTAAAAAAGCACTTATATAGCTCACAGTCTTTCTTCTGTAATATACTTTATCTGTTACTTCCAGAACTACATAAAGTCAATTAAAGGAAGACAAAAATGGAAGACAAAAAAAAAAAAAAAGTCACCAGGCAAGTGAACTTGGATGCTAATGTTGTTAGTCACCAGAACAGAAATGACATGAGTGAGCACCCTGCAGGTCCCAGGAGGCTGCCTCCCTGCAGTGGCTCTTTGTTCTGCGGAGCCCCTTACAGGGACAGAGCTACACATTCTCAACATACAGTAAATGTCTAGAGTTTTAAATATACAAGTCAAATCTCTGCATTTTCTTTCCAATGTGCAAATTGGAGCCCAAGTCTACACCATCAATGGCCTGGAAGGGCCACCCAATGAAAAAGAGGTAAATTTGTATTCAGTGGCCCGCTTTCCTCTACCCCCTCCACCCTCAAACTTCCCTCAAATTACAAAGTTTTTTTAAAAAATTTTGTTTAATTAAAATAATTTCTAAAATTCTTTACTAGTAAACACAAGAAACTTTTATAATTACTAAATTGTTTAATAAAAATCCAGTCCTCATCACTTGCCCTTATGGTTCTTAGATCAATGTACAGAACGTCACCCAGGCTTACATAAAGACTAATGCACAGGTAAGCACACTGTAGTCTGGCAAGGGAAACCTTCACAGATCACCTGTACTGTGCAGTTGCAGCCCAGTGGTACCTTTGTGAAATAAAAACATCTTCCTGAGGAGCCAAATGGGGTTTCCTCTTATAGTATGGGACTGAGCAGTTTTCCTGCAAGGAAATTAAGCTGTCACTTTAATTCTAGTCAACACAGGTAAGACCCAAGTCTTCAAGTTACATTTAACAAGTATGAAAACCTAATTAAATCAAGCATCTATTCCTGGGTCAACTTTGTTTCCAAACTGTGGCCATTGATCCTTCTCTTTAAATCTTAAGATGTTCATACAGCAGGGAAGCTAGAGGTATGTATTACTGAGGGAGAGTAACAAGTAAAAATGTTTTTAAGATCTATTATGAGTTTTAAATTTTCTTATACAAGTGAATTAAAATTCAACACCATAATTCTTGCCCTTCTGTAAAAAGCTCACACACAATTTTTACCAAATATAACCACATACAATAAGCAGTTTCAGTTCAATCTATCAAAAGGGTAATTTCTTCAGGTCATTCCAACAAGTATCTTCTGATTGAGCCCAACTTGGAGAAACAAATATAGACAAAGCTTTACATGCTAATTACCAATGGCAGGTTCCTGTATTTAAAATCAACAGTTACAGTTTTCCTACACAAACCCCCCCCCCCCCCCCCCCGACCCCAGGTGCTACAGTTCCATGGCTTGCCAGTCTGAAGTAGTGTCTATGTGGTCAAGGTCTAGCTTGGTTCCAGTAGCTTTGCTTCTACTGCGCTTTTCTGACATGCAGAAGTGAAGTTTTGGCTGATATATGTCCCAAGTTTCAAACCCTCCATTTTAACTTTTTAAGTTTCTCTGTCTTATTTATAAAAGGAAAGAAGCAGCTCTTCACCACTCTGCATCTCCAATGGCTTTGGAAAATATGTAATCTCTTCCGTTAAGATTCATAATGCCATCCTTGAGATGAAATTTCCATTTATTTTTACTTCTGTGTATCTAAACAAAAATTAAGAATGCAAAAGATGTAATAGGAAAACACAACAAAACCTCATTCATGATAAAACCACAAGCTTTGTCTTATGTAATTACTATATTTGAAAATTGAAATTTAAAATTTTCTTTATGTTTAGCAAAAAAAACTATGTAGATTTAATTTTTTAAAGTAATTTGTTAATAGCTCTCAATAATTTGTATTCAAATAAAATAGTTATGAGTTAGTTACCAGCAAATAATAATTAAGGCCTTATTTCTTTTACTAAAATAAACTCTCAAATAACAGTGCTCTCAAAACCTAGTGTGAACCTTTCACATAAAAATGCTCAGTAGAACACATTTCTGAGATCTTAATCCTAAAACCCTATGGCCTATCCTCTTAGACACCCTCTGGCATATTTAGGACACGTGATTGTTCAATGTCTATCTGATTGTAATTAGGAATTTGTCTAGACTTTACCCTGTCCCAAAACTCTAACTTTCACTTACTGATCCTAGCACTACCTTTGATGTAAATAGTGCTTCCTGCATTTGGGAATCACTGAGTGACAGACTCAAAACTTTCCTCATTAAAACACAACAGAGAATAATGTTAGAATAAAGGTAGAACAGAGAGATTCATATTCAGAAAGAAGTCCAGAAACTTAAAACTAAAGTCATATTGAGTAATATTTGTATTTGCACATAAGTACAAAGTACAAATTTAAAAGCATTCCTTTACTTGCCTAAGCCCTTCATAAACATACAAAATGCCAACAGAAATGTCTTTAATGTCCAATGAAAATGTGTTAAAGTAAAATTACTTTCTCAATGGTGAAACCTCACACTACACTGTTCTCACCAATGCTCCAACAGTTCTTTATAATTAAATTATAATTGCCCAAAACTTGTCATTCTATTAGCATTTAAAATAAGCCATGACTTGTCAGGCAACAACTTCATTATTCCTTCTGTGCTTGTCTTAAAATTGACTCACTGTTGACATACAAAGCTTAGGCTTCAAAACTCCTAAAAAATCAAGTTGGCTCAAGCCACATTCATTTCTCATCTCAAGTAACCCAGGCTACCTCACCATTTATAACTTACTATTACAACACTCATTCTATTCTTTCAGTCTTTCTAATCCTTCAAAGAGAACTCTGATAATTCTGAAATTGTTTTTCATTAGGCTATGTAAACCTACTCTCATTTTATTAGTTTAAAACATGAATGTATCTGAGAGCAAGACAAACTAACTTTAGAAACACTTAAAAACTGAATAGAGCGGGACATCCTCGTGGAGACGGGAGGGTGGAGAGGAGGTATGGGATGGGGACCAGTCCGAGGGTAGACCGGGCGGGGGATAAAATCTGGAGTGTGAAAAAAAAAAAGATTAAATAAAATTTTAAAAAAATATATGGGGATTTTAAAAAATGAATATAGCTTATCAAAGGAGAATACATTATTTCCTTAAAACAAGAAAATACTTCGAGGAATATTCTTTAGTCTAGCTCTTGTCTGGTAACCTGCCATCATGAAACTGTGTTTTGGGTATTTGGCTGCAACCAGGACTCCTCAGACTACTGTTTTAGCCTCATATTCTTTCTGCAGCTAACAAAAAATTCCATCTGCTGTAGAGTTTGTGATAGAGGTTATTAAAAACATTCATCTGAAGTCACAATGCACAAAAACATGCAACTAGTATGCAACTGACCTGGTTTTACCTTTTTATAATTAGGAAGAAAGATACACTGATTGGCAGTCCCCTATAGATCTGTTTGGTTAGGCACAGCTACTTATCGTACTCATTGTAACAACAAAAAAGTAAGATCTCTTTAATCTGAAGGAAATTTCATGTAGGGTACAAATACTACATGTTCATACCCAAACTCTAGTCACCCAGTACTTAGTACTGCTACTCATTAAACATTTGTTTAAGAAAAGAATCACATGGGTACAAAACAATCATTAATATGTGAATTTACGATCAATTTCATGACTGATAAGCACTTATTGCTTAATGGTGTAACTATAAAAATCCTGACAAGAACACTAACGCAGCAGTTCTCAATCTTTGGGGGCTGACTGACCTTTTCACAGGATCACCTAAAACCATTAGAAAACAGATGTTTACACTATGACTCATAACAATAGCAAAGTTGCAGTTATGAAGCAGCAACAAAAATAAATGTATGGTGATGGGGGACTGGGGTCACCACAACATGAGGAACTGTGCTAAAGGGTTGTAACATTAGGAAGGTCGAGAATCACTACACTGATAACTATTAAACTATTTTACAGCTGGCCAGTGGTGTCAGCACGCCTTTAATCCCAGCACTTGGGAGGCAGGGGCAGGCAGATTTCTGAGTTCAAGGCCAGCCTAGTCTACAGAGTGAGTTCCACGACAGCCACGACTACACAGAGAAACCCTGTCTTGGAAAAAAACAGCAACAAAAAAAAATTTATAAAAGAACACTCTGTTTAAGACCTAAAAATATAATAACCACAAAATAACTACAACAGCCGGGCAGTTCAGAGAAGTAGCCCAGCTGTTAAGAGCACTGGCTGCTCTTCCAGATGACCAGGGTTTGTTTCCCAGCATCTGCATGGTGGCTCACAACCTTCTGTAACTCCAGTTCCAGAGCATCTAGAAAACCTCCTCTCACCTTTGCAGGCACCGGGCACAAGTGTGGTGCACATACATACATGTAAGCAAAACACTCATACACTGAAAAGTGGGGGAAGAAAAATAACCAGAAAACTAAAACCTTATAAACTGGGGGGTGGGGTGGGGTGTGTGTGTGTGTGGTGTACCCCACAAAACTCAATAATTAATTCCCAGACAGCTTGGATTAAAACTTCCTTGAATAGCAAAATACGTAAAATTTTAAGAAATCTCACAAAATTCACTACTTAGGCCTTTTCAGACTCAAGTTTATAAAAGACAAAATTATCAATTAGTTCTGTCATTGGAAGGCGGGGGGTTGGGGGAGGCCTGGTACAAGGTAACATCATATGAATAGGAAAATGATCATCATCTCTCCCATTCATCCATCACTTTCTTTCCAAAGGCAATACTAAGGAAGTTCTATTCATTCTACTCTCAAACTGTGAAACCATCACAATGTGTCCTTTCACACTGGCTATAAAAGGTGAAGAAGTCAAGCCAGACATAGTAGAATGCGCCTATAAGCTCAGACTGAAGCAAGAGGAGTACAGCTGAATACAAAGCCATCCGAGACTAGCTAGCTTGCTACACATGGAGTTCCTGGCCAGCCTGAGTTGATAAGTAAAACCTGTTCTCAGGAGTAAAAGAAAAACACAAATACAGGTAGTCACCATCGCCCTAACTGTTTCAGTATGGCTGAAAAGATGATTTAGAGTAATGACAATAAAAACAATGTTCATACTGAATGTGAAGTCCTTACCTTATCGTACTGGCATACAACAACATTTTCTGTGTCAAAGAGTTCCTGCCCTTCCTCGTCACTTACATCATCTTCACTGTTGAGGGGCTCCTGCAAATCAAAGGACACTCATTACTCAGATCACATGTATTGCTATAAAGTTTCCTGTAACATTTATTGACACAAGTACTGTGGCCTTGATGGTCTCTGAGAAGATGTTAGGTGTGTATCTAGATACACTGAATGCAGTGCTGTGAATGCTTAAGGTTTGCTGATGTTATTTCAGCAAGAAATTAAGTTAAACTACAGAACTCGTAAGACTCAAAGGGGGTTAACATTTATTTCCTTTAGAGCTCTGTCATTAAGAAACATTGTCTGCTCATGTTCAATGCCCAGCACCCACAATGGCAGCTCACAACCATTTCTAACTCCAATCTCAGGGCACCAGATACCTTCTTCAGACCTCCCTGGGTACCCGGCACTCATATAGTAAACAAACATACAAGTAGGGAAACAGTCATGCACATAATTTTTATTTTTTTTCTTTTTTCATTAGTAACTGTACAAGACAAATTTTCATGTTTCAGAGGCCTAGAAGAAATAAACCTGAGAAGATATGAAGGTTTCATGAGGTTATGGTATTATCTACCAGCAACAGTTTAAAAGAAGAAAAAAAATGACACTGGAGAAGAAAGGAAAGAACACAATTGGTTTGCAGCGTGGCCTCAGGACTGTACTACAGACTACGACTCTAAATACAGATCAGTACTGTTTGTCAATATGATAATGTGGTAGAAAAAATAATTACTCTTAAAACATATAGGATAAAATATCTCCAGGCCAAAACTAAAACCAAAGAAAGGGATAAAGTAAAGTTAAACTTCATTTGTGGTGTTACACAAAAGCTTTAACTCATATTTAGACGAAGAGGGGAAAGACATGACAAAACAGAGGTAGAAAGGAAAATGATCAAGGCTGTTAGAGTCTAGGAGTATGCCGCTCACACAGAGGTGTATGACATATATTCTCTTTGAACAGAATTGTCTACGTGTACACTTCCTACGTCCATGGCTCCAGAGCACTCTACCAAACCTTACCCACAAGCAATCAGTCTCTATTCCCTCTTGTCTCCTGGCATCCACCAATCTGCTTTCTGACTTCATGAATTTACCTATTCCGTATACATAAATGAAGCAATACAATTTGTGGGTGTTTGTCCTGTGCTTTTGGGTGTTCGATGCACACTCATGTAGCAGTATGCACAGTACTTCACACTTCTTACAGCCAAATGCTCTTCTGTTGTGTATATAGGCCACATTTTCTTTGCCATTCACTAGTTACTGACAGGCAGTCAGGATGCTTGTATTGTTTGGATAGTGACAAGAGTATCGCTGTGAACACTCATGTACATGTTTTGTCTGAACTCCTGTTTTCAATGCTTTCCTATATGCATTTGCAAGTAAAACTTAGCAGCACATGGCTAATTCTCTGCTTAACTCTGAAAAACTACCACTACACTGTTTTCTGTTAAAGCTTCATATTCATACCAGAAACACGTAAGGGTTCCAAATCCTCACCATCATTCATAAACTTTCTTTTAAAATTACACCACTGTGGGTTGGAGAAATGGCTGAGCAATTAAGAATACTGGCTGCTTTTTCAGAGGGCCTGTGTTCAATTCCAGCACCCACGTGGTAGCTCGCAGCCATTTATGACTTCAACTCCAGGGATCTGAAATCCTCTCTTCTGGCTTCTAAAGGCAATGACTGCATGTGATACATGAAAATACACGCAGACAAAACAACCATGCACATAATTTTTTTTTAATTATAGTTTTCCTAGTAGGTATGATGACCCCAACTATGGTTTAGATTTCCATTTCCCTAATGACTAAAAATGCTTAAGAAAAGAAAACTACATCTGCTATTACAGTTTCTGAGGATCAAACGTATAAGCATAACATAGAAAGTTTCTCTGTTCGGTCTCACACAAGTTAAAATTTATGGTATCACAAGGCATATTGTCAGCTGACCCTCTGGTCTTTTCCAAGCTCATACAGATTGCTGGCAGACTGAATTGCTTAAAACTGTAAGACTGAGACTTTCGTAGATGCTCTGAAGCTGAGGGAAAGGTAGTTCAACGGTAAAATATAGTAACAAGCAGCAAATACCCAGATACTGTCCACAGTGTCACACGCCTTTAATCCCATCACCCGGGAAGTGAAGGTACAGACCAGCCTGGTCTACATCAAGTTCCAGGACAGCCAGAGCTACAGACTAAGACCCTGTCTCAAAAATAACAATTTAAAAAAAAAAAATCACAGAAGAGATTATATAATTAAAAAAAATACAAATTCTTTCATAAGGATACTATCTACATAAGAACTGATGAGAGGATTATGAGAAAAATTACAAAAGCATTCCTACACATACACTGATATAAAACTTCTGTAAATGTCAATCTAGCAATTAGGTAAAGGATAATACATAATGACCGAGCTGTGTCATATCAAGAACTCAAGATTGGTTTGCAAATTAGGACCACTCAATAGAATTCATAAATAACAGTCTATGAATTGGATACTGTGACTAGTGGTTTCAGAAAAGCATTTAATAATAAAATGATTTCCTTATACTAATAAAAAAAAATGCAAAGCACTTGGCAATCACTTAGCCAAAAAGACATCTACAAGGACAGGAAACAACAACAACTATACTTAATAATAGACCATTATAAAAAAATCTTCTACATAAAAACCAGATGACTATTAAAAATCAATATATGTCTATAATCAAGCAAGCTGGAGAAACAGCACAAATGTCACTTAAGGACTAAAACTGTGGGAAAGGGTTAGAAATAATGCTAACTATAAGTATAAGTTATAAGTATAACTTGAAGTGTATGTCCAAGTATTTGGACATATAAGTAACAAGTAAATACATGAAAAGCAACTAAATCTCCTAAGTATTCAAGGAAGTTCAAACTAAAACAAGCCAAGACACCATTTTTCAAACTGGAAAAAAATTCAACAGTCTGCCACTAATCAGGAATGGATAACATATTGACATCTACAAATTACAGACAAAATGGCAGGATAGACTCAGTACAGTAAGTTGGCAAGTCCATGTTCACGTGTAATACTAAAGAGAAACACTGTAGTTCCCAGCACACAAGCCACCCAAATACTCAATAAATCCAAAAGAGGATAAACAAATTACAGTACAAATCATAGTACAAACCGTAAAAATTATGAGTTATAGGTTGTAACTGAGATGAACCTTAGTGACATCATTTTAAGAAAACTGGACAGAAATTACATTAAAAGTATTGCACTTATGCTATATATGGACAAGAAAAACTCAAACAGTATTATCTTTGGAAATGCGAACAGATGTACTGTAATACAAAGAGAAGTTAACAATAAAGTCTGGCATAAATGCTTTGAAACCACAAGAAAGAAGATATAACTGGGGAAGAAACAGCGAAGTGTACAAAGAAACACTTAAGTAACAGAAATATTTCACTCAATGGTGGATGCCTGGATAGCCATATTTTAAAATATTTTTATTCACTTTGATTTGTCAAATATTAAATAAATTATTTTTAGCCAAATAATATTTAGGAAAAACAGATGTTTAGTTAGGCCCAAACAATGGTCACACTTATAATCCCAATTCTTGGGAACCTGAATCAGGATTGTCAGAAGTTCAATACAATGAGTTCCGACCTGCAGCCTAGGCTACAGTGTGAAAAAAACCAAAATAATAATAAACATAAATAAGTAAAATCAAACAAATTTGTATTAAGATTTAAAAGATGATGATTCCATTGTATACCAAAGTAATTAATCATAAATATTATGGTAGGTTACTATGTTATTTTTGTATAGTAACTAATCTGGAAGAATAGAGAAAATAGGAACATGTTTACAGCTATCAAGAAAAAGGTATGATGATCAGATTACTGAGGACCTGGTATAGAGTATGACAAAAGGGCCAAGGATGGCTTTGGCTTGAGCTGTCACATTCAGTTTTTCTCCAGTTTCCTCTCCCCATATACTGTCATACCTTTTTAATCACTAAAAGAGAAAATCAATTTCATCTATCTGTTTTACCAATACATCATGTTTAAACCATATTTCATAAAACCTAAATCAAAGAATTTGATTTGCACTATCCTCACTATCCCTATTAATATAATTTCCATTTGATACACATACCTTTAAAAATGAGCTTATAGTTACTATTGATATCAATAGGACCTATTCTGTATTACCTAGGAGACAGACCTCACTCGGAGCTTATCTATGAGGAAGTATCTAGGTCCTGAGTATGCCTACAATGGACTGTGATGAAAATACTAATTGACTTAGGAAGACTCACAATCCCAAGTGTACAGTACCACTCCCTGGGTTTGAGTATTGGACAGTATAAGGAAAAGGCCAATTAAGTTCAAGCATCCATCCCTCTGCCTCTGAAACAAATAGCCTATAATTTGTCTGCTTAGCATCAAACACAACAGTGAATGAGAGTGCCTTTTCTTTTCAAGGCTTTTATAGAAACTTACTTCCTCCACCTGCCCATCTTCAGCTCCATCTTTCTCTTTATCTTCCTCCTCATCATCATCATAGTCTTCTTCTTCATCTTCATCTTCCTCAGAAGATGTATCCCCCGTTCCATCAACTTGTAACACCAATGGAGCTTGCTGTTGAGCAGGCTGGGCCTGTGGCTGCTGTTGTCCAGCTGCAGGTATCTGTGCTTGTGCTGGTGTGGGTGCTGCCACTGTTGTAGGAATGACCTGAGTCTTATTTCCTGTAAATAAGATTTGCTGTGGCTGGATGATGACACCTGTCTGCGGTGAAATCCCTCCAGGGAGTGGGGCTAGGACCTAGAGCAAACAAAACCACCTATTAGAAACTGGCTAGAGGGATCAAACATCCAAAACTAGACTACTAATAATTCAGTTTTAAACATGAGAAATGTACATTAGACTTGAAGGCATATAATCTTAACTCAGGGTAAGGTTGTTTTTGACTGCTGTGCACATATTAACTTGTCTAGGGGAAGAGTGGGGAAGCACACAAGAAAGTCATAAAAGTATAGCAGCAGAGGAGGCAGAAGCAAAAGAAAATGGATACCAAGGGGATGGTAGGTAAAATTGTTTTACCTGTTGGATAACAGGCGCTTGTACTCCACCGGGCTGCATTTGTGGTATAACTTGTTGTTGTAGAACAACTGATTGCTGAGGCTGAAAGATATACTGAGCACCATTGGCTGCTCTGACCACCTGAAGCAGCTGGCCTAAGGCAAAAAAGAATAGAGTCCAGGTTGCTATTTCAGCAACAATTAATACACAAAGAAATTTATACTGCTCTCAAGCCAAAGAACCTAGAAATTACTAAGTTAAAAGACTAAACATTTTACTAAGGGGTGGCAACTACACATGTTAAACTATAATCATTACTGTTCCCAACTTCCCCCAATATCCAAATAGCTCAGTTATTACAAGCACTAAGCTGCTATTCCAGAGAATTAGGGTTCCATTCCCATCACTCAAATGGGAGCTCACAGGTATTTCTAACTCCAGTCCTAGGGAATCCAATGGCCTCTTCTGGCATCCCAAGAAACTGCAAGCATGTGGTGCACAAACATACAAGCAGGCAAAATACCCATACATACAAAATTTAAAACTGAAAAAAAAAAAGACTTTATGATAGCCTTAATTGCTTTTGGTCACATGGCAATAGTCAGGAAAGGGTAATAAATATGATCAGACATTTCAATGGCTGTTTTTAAACTTGAAAGACACAAAGGTGTAACATCTTATTTGTATCTTAAACCAAAGCACAAGCTTTCCTTTAAATTCTCAACATGCAATGAAAATTTGCTGAGCCAATTAGAATGCCAAAATTATGACCAAATAACCGAACAATGCCCTCGTGTATGTTCCTTTAGATATAACAGAATCCTTAAGAGTGAGCAAAAACATGCAGCAAGACAGATCCCTAACTGGTTCCTCAAATTTAGCAATTAACTAACAAAAATAAGAAAGATGATTGATATTAGCCCAAGTAACAGTCTACATACGTTTTGTAAAAGATATAATGAAAAATATATTATTAATGCAGAGACTTTATGTCTAAAAGACTATAACGTGTAAATTCTTCATGCCCTGTGAAATGGTCAACTTGGTCATCACAAATATCTCATTTAACTCATTTGCCAAGACAGATACTTAGTTTAAATTTAAAAAAAAAAGCTCTGTATATAACCACTGAAGCAGCGTCTCAGCTGGCCTCAACTTACTATGAAACTGAGAATGACACTGAACTTCTGATCCCGCCTCCAACTCCAAACTTCTGGGATTAGATGCTACCAAACCTGGCTACAATTTTCATTTCCTCAGCTGTATCCTCAAGAAAGATTAAACTTCTCTATTTTATAGCTCTTAAATTATTTAAACAACCTAAACCAAATGGTCAAACAAATGTCAGTATTGTCTTTATTTTTGACAATAAAACATTAAGAGTTACCTGATGTTAACTTCTGAACAATATTTAAAACTGCTTCCCATGTTTCTAGTTACCTGAATTTGTTAGTATCTGTTGAACAGGAGTCACGCCTGCAGGAAGCGCCAAGGTAGCAGCTGTAGCAGCAGCACTCTGGAATAAAACACAAAGGAAGGAAAGTCTTATCTGCGCATGCACTGAACAAGATCTTAGTTTATGTGCAGTGCATTTTACCAGCACATGAGGAATTTACTAAAATAGCATTCTAGCAATAAGGCTAAGTTCCATGTGGCACAAGAAAGACAGCACAGCCTAAATAACCTATTGAAGTATTTCAAGAAAGTTCCCTTAGAGAATTTATTCTAAGTAACCTCACAGGGAAGCTTCTTTGGTTCCGGATGCAAGCTCTCACAGTCCCAGGCTAACCTGTATGGTTTCAGAAATAGATGCTCTACTAGCCATGTGGTCGCACAGGAGACCGCCACTCCAGCACTGCTAGACCGTATACTGAGAACCAGCTTGTGGTAGCTTAAATCCAATTTCATACTCATCACTTAAGGCCATCCTTGTTTCTTGGTTTTCTACATTACTACCAGAATCAACAGGTCTCCAAAAAAAAAAAAATTATCTCAGAATTCTTTGGTTTCTATAACTGACAATTCTAAGATGCCACATCATTTAAAAGGAACAGGGACATATTCACATAATATTCCAGGTAACATATGCAATAGGTTAGGTATTTCTTAGTCCAAACCTTGAAGCCAGAACTATCTCAACTTCAGATATTTTTCCTAAATTAAGAAATACTTGAGCCGGGCGGAGGTGGCGCACGCCTTTAATCCCAGCACTTGGGAGGCAGAGGCAGGCGGATTTCTGAGTTCGAGGCCAGCCTGGTCTACAGAGTGAGTTCCAGGACAGCCAGGGCTACACAGAGAAACCCTGTCTCGAATAACCAAAAAAAAAAAAAAAAAAAAAAAAATACTTGTATATACACACACATACACATCCTAGATGTGCGAACTCAAAAATCTATGAAAGGAATTTATTTTTCATACATACATTTATACATATATCCTGAACATAATTTCATATTTTAGTATCCTATAGATTTTTTTTCCTTTTTTTTTTTTTCTTAAACTAGATCTTGTATGTAATCCTCTCTTGCCTGGAATTCACTGTCAGACAACTTGGTCTTCAATCTGAAGTCATTCTCCTGACTTTGTTTCCCAAGTATAGTGATAAAAGGTGTGTACCAACATTCTTGGATTTTTTTTTTTCCCCTTTAGGACAGGGCCCCAGTATAGTCCAGGCTGTCCTCAACTAGTAATCCTCTTGTCTCTGCCTTCTGAGGGAAGGGATTGCCCTACAACAGCTCCCGTGAGACTGAGTTGTAACTGCAATCACTCCATTTAGTTACTCCCAAGATTTTTTTTCTTCTTGATTGCCCTGAAAGGTTTTTATCACTCTGATAGCTTAATTTTGTACTTTTAAATATCTTCATGTATCTCACTGTAACTTCATTTAGGTAGCTTTTATTCTATTATGTTTAGATATTCCTTAACACACACAACCATTAATTATTGTTTAATTTATAAATTTTTAGGAAACCAACATTTAGATTGAGTTTAAGGAAATACGTACATATGCCTTAGAGAAACTAATGAGAGAACAGTGAGAATGACTTCTGTGCAGGTCAGGGGCAGGAGATAGTCAGGGGCTCGGTGGTTATAAGCATTTACTTCCCTTGCAGAATTCAGGTTCTACTTATTCCCAGCACCCACATGGCAGCTCACAACCACCTTCAACTCCACGCCCATGGGATCTGACACCCTCTTTTGTGCTCTACAGGCACCAAGCAGGCATGTGATATATAAACATACAGGCAGGCAAGCAGTAATACACATAGGAAAAAAGAACATTTTAAAACAATACAAATAAATAAAAATAAAAACTGGAGTTGCTAGTACATGAAGTTAAGACTGGCAGTACACACGAGGAACCTGCTTCTTAGATGCTTATATACCACAGCTGTAAACTCTTATGCTTCACAGTTGCCACTCAGAAAGTCAAAGCTCTTGTAAAAATATTTTCATTAAAAACCAAAAAACTCATTGCTAATAGTACTTAAACAGACCAGGAGACAATTTGAGAAATGATTTTTGCTCCTTAGTAATAATTTTAGCTGATTTTAAAAATGAAATGCCACAACTGAGGCACTACCTTATCTATACATTTTAAGAAAATAAATCATTCATGGTAAAGTACTAAATAAATGGTCAGACTGTGTTTTCATGTTTCTTTTCAACATTAACGATCTAGCAACACATTCTAAGAGCCTGAAGGGCTTCTTTAAGTTCACAGTTAAACACTCTGATGTATCTGATGAGAGATTACAAGCCTTAAATGTGAGAAGTTTAAGAATGTGTAATATTCAGTGTGCCTGTCCACCTGAAATATAACAAAACTCTACTATATTTCAACTGCATAAAATACATCTTAAGGTATAAATTTAAAGAGTACAATAAAGCAAACAACGTATTATGCTTAAGTCACAACAAAGACTCTCTTAGCATATGACTTCAGCAGTGGCATCCTTGAGTTGGGCATGCTGGCACATGTCTTTAATCCCAGGACTTGGCAAGCAGATTAAGTTTGAGTCTAGCCTGGTCTGAAACCATGTCTCAAAAAACCCCAAAAAGCAATGCAAAACAAAAAAGGAAATAGCATCCTTGCATGCTTCAGCAGATGACCACACACTCAAATGTACAAAGTTAGCACAACTAGATTTAATGGTTTAAAAAGAAACAGAGGGTACAAGTTGGGTGTGTGGGTAGAAAAGAAGGGGTACATCTGGGAAGAGTTGGGGTAGGGGTGAATATGATTAAAATACATCACATGCAACTCTCAAATAACTAATACAATTAAATTTTTAAAAAGAAATAGCTATCCTGAGTTGTCCAAAACAGTTAATTCTCAACAATATAAACTTAGCATATGTTTGGCTGGTTCCTTACAGCTATGAACTATCCCCCACAAAGAGTATCTTGGTATTTTTTCTAAGAAGATTACATAGTTTTATAAATTCTAATGTCTAAGATAATGTGATTTTATTTATCATTAACACATATCTTGCTCAAATCTTTCATAATCCTCAAGTTGTTAAATAATACACACAAGAATAACTGCAATTTTAGATTAAATAACGCCAATGTAAGTGCCATGTTCAAGTCTTACCGTAATACTTGATGCATTCATATGTTGTATCAACTTAGAATCAGGAACAATAACTTGTGGTGCTGTAGCTAGAAAAAACAGAAAAAAGGGTCTATTTACAAACAAGGGTCCTTCAGAGCTGCAGGAATGTCATAAAACGGCAAAACTTTCTTTACCTTTTTCATGCTTTTGTTGCATTTTCTACTTTAAAATACTCTCAAACTATTTGCTATTTTATACTTCTTTAAGATTTTTTCTATGGAAATCAACAGCTAAATATTTATTTATTTTATATTGAAAAACATTAATAAAATGACAATACCTTAGCCAGGCATTGCAGTGTATCCCTTTAACTCCAGCACTCAGGAAACAGAAGCAGATAGATCTCTGAGTTCAAGGTTAGCCTAGTCTATATAGTAAGACAGTGTCTAAAAACAACTAACAAACAAACACACAAACAAAACCCTAGAACATCCTGTTCTGGGAACTTGACTGCTACCCACAATCATGGCATTTTAATTAACTATTTGAAAAATATCAATCAATGGGTGAAAATGCTTCCTATACAAGCAGAAGGACATGAGTTCAATCTCCAGAACACACATAAAAAAGCTAGTGACATAGCATGAGCACTCTAACACCACTGCTCCTGTAGGAGATAGAGAGCTACCAGGGAGGAGAGTCAAGAGACAGGAGAACTCTGAGCTTGAGGACAGCTAGCATAGCGTATACAGAAGAAAGACAACACAGATCCCGCTTCAAAGTGAAAAGCAAGGATCAACATCTGAAGTTGTCTTCCGACTTCCATGCATACAGCATGGTGCATGAGCACCTCAATCTGCATGCGTGCACACAAACATCATACACACAAGTACGAAACAATGGCAATGTTAGTTAAAAAACAGAAGTAATTGTTTGACCCCGCAAATTTCAGAGAATACACAGATAATCCCAATATCTTGATATTCTCTGAGTGAAAAAAATCAATTTTAATTTATGATGACCTAAAATCCTAGTGCCATGCCTATAGACAATAGGAGGAACAGTCATCAAAGATGAAAAACAGGTATGAAGAGCTGGTGAGATGGCTCAGTGGGCAAAGGCACTTGCAACCAAGCCTAAAGACCTGAGTGCCATCCTTAGAGCCCACATGGTAGAAGGAAAGAACAGGCTCCTGCAAGCTGTCCTCGGCCACATGGATACCATGGACTACCACTCCTCCACACATGCTAAGTTAAGTAAACGAGCCCTTAAAAAAAAGAGACTCAAAATCTATAGTAAACCAAATCATAAAGGCTGTCTGCTACATGTAACTATTCACTGTGCATCTCATACACACTCTTAGACAAAGGAGCAAACGAGTCACCGAACAGTCACCACCTTAAACTAAGCTTTCATTCACCTGAAGTTTCCTTCCCAGTCAAATTCATCTAACTACAATATTCAGAAAATTTTGTAACTCAATAGATTTTTGTCATATAAAAAAACTACGAATGATGGATCGAGATCTTGTTTTGGGTTTTTTTGAGACAAGTTTTCTCCATGTACCCCTGGCTGTCCTGGAACTTACACTGTAGACCAGGCTGGCCTTGAAATCAGAGATCTACCTGCCTCTGCCACCTGAGTGCTAGATTTAAAGGTATGGAAAGGTTCTTAATCTTTCCAGAGCCCAGATTTCCTTCAACTGTGAAAACTGAGCTAATAGCTATCCTGCAACACCCCGATAAAGGTCAACACAACAGGACCTATAACATGATTTGAATATTGTAAACTATGACAAAGTCTGTAAATCGTTTTTTTTCTTTAAATCAAGCATTAAAAGTAAGTTGAACTAAATTTTCAGACTACTTATTCCAGTATTGAAGATGCATGAACAAAATAAAATGTCTTTGTAAAATCATGTTTTATAAAGAAAACGACCTTATATTAAATAAAGAGTCCCTTCCTAAGTAAGTCTGTATAGGTAGGGATCCCATTTTCTTTTTTCTTACACAATATATACAAAGTGTAGAGTATGGGTATTGCTGTCAACCTATGAGACTCAAGGTTTCTCTGCAGTGTTTCTGGCATATATCACAGCTTAGCTGGCCCATAACCTTCTGGGAATCTGTCTCTACTACCCATCTCCCCACAGGGATACAGGAACTCCTCCTGCCTTTATGCTCTTGGGACTCTACGTCTCTCTACCTGGTCCTTAGCCAGCTCATTCACATATGAAAAGTAGGTATAAAGAGCTGGTGAGATGGCTCAGTGGGCAAAGGCACTTGCCACCAAGCCTAAAGACCTGAGTGCCATCCTTAGAGCCCACGTGGTAGAAGGAAAAAGAACAGACTCCCCTCCCAGGAATGCTCTTCATAACTTCTCCCTTTGTTATTTTCTTTTGCTGTTTTTGAGACAATGTCTCGAGTAGCCCAGGCTGGCTTCCAACTCACTCACTATATAACTAACTGAAGAAGCCTCTTCCAAAATGCTAGGATTATAGACATGCTTCACAATGCCCAGTTTATGCGGTGGTGGTGATTGAACCCAGGACTTCATGTACGCTAGGCAAGCACTCTACCAGCCAATAGAAAAGAAGAAAAAGAACAATCAGTATAGGTCTCCCGATCTCAGCATCTGTTTAAAAAAGATGATGGATTCATCAAACTCAAAGGAATACTTTCAAAAGACAAGTGTAGTTTGTAAGCCACAATAGGGAACTCTATGGCCTTCTCACCTTGCTGTGATGCAGGAATAAGAACCTGTTGGGTCTGTGCTTGCTGAGGTACCGTTTGCTGAGGTTGCGCTTGCTGGTGGTGGTGGTGGTGGTGATGCTGCTGCTGCTGGGGTTGATGCTGCTGCTGAACTTGCAACAAAAGCTGCTGTTCTTCTGAATGAAATCCATCTACTGCCCTAGACTGCATGAGTTTATTCTCCCACAACTAAGACAAAGGACAGTAAAGACTTCTCAGTGACTTAAAAAAAAAACTCTGGACACATGGACATTAAGTTATTAGGTGACTGTAAATTTCTTCCATTTTCAGAAATAATACTATCACACATACACATAAATTAGCCTTTAATTCTTACCCAAGTTTGATGTAAGGAAAATTAAACCTTAATCAGATCTCATGTTTATTGTAGTGAAGAAATTTTTTTTTTACATTCCAAGAAACGTTCTAGAGTAATTCCTCAGTTAGCAGGTATTACTTAACAGAGTTCCCAGAGTCAATCCCTGAATAATCACAGCTTATCTTTTTATTTCAAAATCATTATTAAATTGCTTTTATGGAACTTTGCTCAATACAAATTTTCTATCTCTTCAATAGGAGTCAACAGGAGAAATATTCATCCATCTGTCCTCACTGAGAATGAGAAATAAAGGCACTCTAAATTCAGACAGGCCAACCTCCTTTCTACTCGTCTAACCTTGTGAGTTAAAGAAAATGGTCTGACATGGTCATCCCAGTCCTCTACACCTCTCAAAATGTCCTCTTTCCTATGAAGGAGTGACAGTCACTTTTTCCTTAGTCACTTCTATAGGGTGAACATATCTAAAAACTCAAAATCTACCATGTTCTAAAAAATCTGTACCTTTTTGATTCCTGCAGGATGTCACCACAGGAAAATTCTACCTGATGAAATTTTATTTTATGCACAAAACCATTAAAATCATGTGTAAAATTAATTCCTAGCAATGTGTAAAAGGTGTATGAGAAGCATTAAGAGAACTTCACTCCTTACTATATGCAAGTACTTCAAAGTCTAAAAAACATAATGCAAAAAGACAATATTCCTGGGTTGGTGATACCTTTCCGATTAGGGATACCCAATCTGTATTCTTTCTTTCACCAGAGGGTAAGTTCTATAATAGAAGAGGGGAGGGAGAGCAACCCAAGAGAGGAAATGAAAATATTTCCAACTATTTCATTCTTCCCATAACATATTTGCTTTCTCCTATGTTCTATGTTTAGAGTTTCACTCTTATAAGAAATTATCCAAGAAAGTAAAATCATGCCTCTAAAACACAAAGAAAACAATTTGGTCAGTTTAACACTCAGGCATCTGTGTAAGCATTCTGTTTCTAAGTCTAGGACCTGCTCTTGAGATACTGTTAACTCAAGAGGTTTCTTTGGAGTCCTTTCAGAGGCTCCTCTTGCTATACATAGATTCAAAGCAAAAACTCATCACCTAGCTGGGCAGTGGTGGCGCACGCCTTTAATCCCAGCACTTGGGAGGCAAAGGCAGGTAGATTTCTGAGTTCGAGGCCAGCCTGGTCTACAGAGTGAATTCCAGGACAGCCAGGGCTATTCAGAGAAACCCTGTCTCGGGGAAAAAAAAAAAAAAAACAAAACAAAATAAAAAAAACAACCATCACCTTTCCCTCTCTACTGACCTAGATTTAGGACTACCTGCTAAAACAATTCCAGTGTCTTTCCAGTGGTGTTCTGAAGAATGAAGTCAGGTTCACAGTACAACTACTTCTCTAGCAAGCCCAATACTTAAATGCCTGAAATCCATACTTAAAAAAATACTAATCTCTATTCATGGTTATCAAAGTTTAATAAAGTCAGTGATCACTGAATGCTAGCTGTTATTACTAATCCAGTAGTGGCTTTAATTATGTAACAGCATTACATCAGAAGCTGGAAAACCAGTTAATCCTGGTTTGTCTACTAATGTGACTCAATCATGTAACATTCTTACATATTTTCTTCATCTAAAATTAAAGGAAAATTCAGTTACATTATTTTTAAACTTTCAGCTAATAATAGAGGCTTTTACAAACCCCACACTAAAAACAACTTCCTAGAGCAACAAAGTAGTACTTCCTAAGTAAGAGTCCAAATTTTATCTGGCTGATCTCTGAAAAGAGGAGAGGAAAGGAGAGGGACAGAGAAGAGGAGAGAGAGAAACAGGAGGGAAGGGAACCAACTCCTACAAATTATCACCTCGCCTCCACATGCACACAGTGGTATATACACATCTACATGTGTAAACACACAGATGAAATTAATTTTTCTTTAAAAAAATCAATCAAAATATGAAGTAAAAGAACTGTCATTGTTTAAGAAACTTTTTTTTTTAAGCTGGGCAGTGGTGGCACACGCCTTTAATCCCAGCACTTGGGAGGCCTCTAGAGGCAGGTGGATTTCTGAGTTCGAGGCCAGCCTGGTCTACAGAGTGAGTTCCAGGACAGCCAGGGCTATTCAGAGAAACCCTGTCTCGAGAAAAAACAAAAACAAAAAAAAACAAAACAAGAAACTATTTTTTAAATTAGGCATAGTGGCATACACCTTTAATCACAGCACTTGGGAAGCAGAAGCATGTGGATTTCTGTGCGTTCAAGGCCAGCCTGGTCTACATTAAGTTCCAGAGATCCTGCCTCTAGAGGGGGAAAGAGTTTTACAGCATAGTTTTCTAACTGAGGAGGTGATGAAAATCCAAACTAGTTCTTAAAGTACATTTTCTAACAGTGTCCAATTCCCAACCCATCATGTTTAAAAAAAAAAAAAAGATTTATCTTATTATTTGTGTGTGTGTGTGTGAGAGAGAGAATACATATCACATGCTTGTGGCTGCCCCTCACTAACCAGAAGAGGGTATAGAATGCCCTGAAGTGGAATTACTTACAGGCAGCTGTGAGCTGGCCGTAGGTTCTAGGAACAGAATTCTATGTTCTGTGCTCAGATGACTGAGCCATCTCTCTAGCCTCTCTTCAATTTTCTAAATTCAATGTTTTATTGTTATTACCATCAATTGGTTGTAAGCCCATCATTCTAAAGATGCTTCTAGGATAAACAGAAATATTGGCAAAATGTAATGTGTGGTTAAGACCATGTTCTACTCCCCTACATCCTAGCAATCAAAATTCCTAACTGAGAAAGTTTACAGTATATTTCAGTAGTAAAAGTGCTTGCCCAGTTAGCATGGAATGAGAATCAAAAATCCAGAGCCACAAGAAAAGAAAGGAGAGGAGGAGCCGGTGGCTACATAAGAGGAGAAGAGCTAATTCTGAGGTGGGATCCCAGACTTAGTCTATCAGCACATTAAGTAAGATGTGAGCCACAAGCCATTAGAATGAATTGCCCAGGTTATTTTGTGATGTTTGCAAAAGTAAATATAGTTGAATTAAAGTCTAAATCAATGCTTTTCAAATAGGACTTCAACCTATTAGTGGGTCATAAAAAGTCAATGTTGAGCCAGGTGTGGTTGTGCACGCCTTTAATCACAGGACTCAGCAGACAGAGGCAGGCAGATCTGTGAGTTTGAAGCCAGCCTAGTCTATACAGTAAGTCCAGGACAGCCAGGGCTCTGTTACACAAAGAAGGCCCCATCTCAGAGGAAGAAAAAAGTCAATGTTGAATTTTTTTTTTATGAATAATATTAAACTTGAAACAGATATGTAACATAGGAAATAGTTTCAGTGTTGTTTTCTGAACTGTTAATGGATTAACTTTCTAAAGTTTACAAACACATCTTCTACTTAACTGTAATAATCTGTAGACTATATTAATTATAGATATCAATTCTATTAATCTGTATAATCTATAGACTATATGATATATATGTATATAACCTATAATATAGTCACCCTTATATATGTGAAATAGCCCACATCCCAACTAGAAGTCTAAAACTATACTTGACTCAAATATGATTTTCCCCTACACACATACATACATATCCATGATAAAAGTTTAATTTGCAAATTATACACAGTGCAGTAAAAGAGAACTATAAGGACATTCTGTGGTTTAAACGCTATGTGACTGTGGTCTCTTTCTCAAAGTATCTGACTGAATGTGCAGTTTCTTATGGGGATATGAAATACAATATTTACGTGTTAAGATTTAGGTGACATACACAGACACTCTGTTATCTGAATATACACACTATGACACTACACAGATATTCTGGAAATTGAATGGGCATTAAATGATTAATGGGTGAGTTGCATATGCAGAACAGATAAGCTGGACAGAGAAATGACTCACAAACTGGATATTATACAACTGGTTGGGGAGATTTCATCATTCTGAATGCACACAACCTACAACTCACAAATTGCTTATTTCTGGATTATTTCACTTAATATTTTTCTAACAAAGCTGACCAAGGGTAACCAAAACAAAAAGGAAAATCAGGGATCTGGAGAGAAGGCTCAGTAGCTAAAAGTACCTGCTGCTCTATCAGAGATCCCAGGTTCAACTACCAGTACTGACATGACAGCTCTCAATAATCTGTAACCCCAGTTCTAAGAAATCCAATGCCATGCACTGGCCTCCTCAAGCACCAAGCACAAACATGGTGCAGACATACATGCAAGCAAAACATCCACACACATTAAAAAAATTTTTTAAAGATTATAGATAAGGGGAATAGTACACTATTTTTAAAAACAGTGCTCAGACCCAATCTACTACCCCATTTAGTCAGACTCTGGAGCAGAGGCTTAGCCAGACTACCTGCTACTGTAACTGGTACTGTATTTCTTATAGAACTAAGCTACTTTCTGTTAAATAACCTGAGACTACTCCATAGTTCTCAATGTGAAGTTTCTAAAATGAAACATATCAAAGTTCCATAGCCCCAAAGAAAGGCAGTCCCTTAGGCTGGCCATGCTGATGCATGTCTTTAATCTGAAGCACTTGGGAGACAGAGGGATAGGCAGTGGATCTGCTTTCAAGGCCAGGCAGAGCTCCAAAGTGAGACCCTGGTTTGTTGTTGGGTTTTTCCGTTTTCTTTTCTTTGGGGAAGAGGGGAGTTTCTCCCTGTGCTATCAGAGATAGTACTACTTCTGAATGAATTTCTTCATGCAACAGATAACTAGGAATTTACCAGCCATTAAGTATTAAATTTAAAGAAAGATTATAAAAATAAATTAATGTTTATTAGAATTCTGTCTTCTGTATAGGATTTTACTGGCATTTTAGGCAGA